AATAATCTACAGCCAAAGTCTTTTTTTTCTTTTTACGTTCTTTTTATTTAGTTCTTTGGGTCAGTGGTTCCCAAAGAGGGGGTCATGGGACAATGACAAGAGGTTTCTTAATGATTTCCAAAAGTCAAATACATTTTATTAGAATTACCATATTTTAACCATAACCCACAGAAAATAAAAATAGCAGTAGTTAATAGTATGCGAAAAATAAGCCATAAGCATTTAAATATTTAATTTTTCATGGAACCGGTGTGTTGACATTAGATGTTAAACTTTCTGACACCTTTATGGCAGTCAAATACATTAAAAATAAAAAATACAGGCCACAACTGATTATTGACAATGATCTCCAAAATTAAACCAAGAATAGACTTAAAACATTGTGTCCACCAGTCTTTTTAGCTGAAGTTAATATTAAACCAAACAAATAATAAATGACTATGAAAATTACGGTTGTTGGGCTGTTGCACATTTTTGTAATGTCATTATGCTCATGTTTATACAGGCCTATTGTTGTATGTGTAACGTTTGTATGTTTATAACCACCTCAGTGGAATTTGGGGGTCACGAGTCTTTGGCATTGTTATTTTAGAGGTTGTGGGCTGAAAAGTTTGAGAACCCCTCCTTTAGGTCAGTTAAATGCAGAATCATGCTCAAAACTCAGACATTGACATTAGATGGATCCTGACAGCAGAACAAGTGACCGCAGTATTTGAACTACTGACTCATCTGATTTGACTTTGACACTCTTGGCAGGTTGTTAATGTTGGCACTACAGTGTATTGGTCATCTGTCAGAATTTCAAATTAGGCATTTCTTCCTTTATTAACCTCAAAACTGAATAGTTTTTACTTGCTAATTTAAATGTTTTAATGTTTTAAGGTAACTCTGAGTCAGCATAGTCAGCGTAGATCGCTTAAATACATGTGTGATCTTATGAATTACTCATATTTTTGTGAGTTTTTAAAGGAACAGTTCACCCAAAATGAAAATTATTTCAACATGTATTCTTTCTCATGTGGTTTGAATTTTCTTTCTTCTTTTGAACACAAAATAAGATATTTTAATAAAATACTACAGTCAAAATACCAAGTTAAAGGGTGCTACCAACCAGCATTTTAAAGGGGTGGTTCACAGTGTATTTTTGAGGCTTGGTTGTTTTTATAAGATTTAAAGCAATGTGTGCTCAGGCTTTACTTGTAGAAAATCATGTTGTTTTTTTTATATATATTTTACTTTGATTATATATAGCTACTCAGCTAACATGCAAATGACTCTGAAAGGCCCGCCCTCAAGTGGATCTGATTGGTCAGCTAACAAAATGTTCTTTAATTCGTGGATCGGCTCCATGTCACGCCCCTACAAGCACACAATTTTGCACTGTATAAATACTGTCAGTCAGAGCAGCTATTAGCAGCATTAGCTGCTTGAGTAAGACAGAAAAAATGAAGAGCACACAGCTGAACTTCACGCCTGCTCTCTGAAATAAAATCTGAAAAGTGTCTTTCACATATATTTGGAATAAGCATGTGTAAGTAATGTGAAACGTTCTCATATCTTTTGAGAGTTTCTTATTTGAGATGTAGAACGCATGGAAATCAGCTTTATGGAGAAACTTCATGCGCTGCTTAAGATTGTGAGTGTTTACAGTTTGACGGATAAATATGAATTTGTAGATACATTGTTAGCGGTGCCAAACAGCATTTCCTGTTGTTTACATGCTTGTTTACAACCTCGCTAAAACAGTTTGTTAACGCTAGAAACTGCGCATGTAGTTGATAAATTTTAACAAACAAAAATTATTATTATTATAACCTTTATATTACGAGGAAAGACACATTGAGATTAAAAATCTCTTTTACAAGAGCGTCCTGGCCAAGATTAGGCAGTATACATGTCACATGGGTCTAACAGACAACAAACAAAAAAACTATTTACAGTTAACGTGAATCACACTGACAAACTATTCAAAACATTTACAGACCTGTGTTTCAGCTTCTAAATCTTTTATAGTCTTTTTAAAAACATGTAGTGAAATCAATCCTTTGAAATGCAGCTGTGTTTGCAGATTATTCCATGCAAAAGGTGCTGCATACCTAAAAGCCTTTTTTTCCCATCTCAGTCCGCACATTAGGAACAGACAGTAAACAAATATCCTGTGACCGAAGACCATAGTTAAGAACAGGCTTTTTACAAGTGTAATTCTGTAGATATGATTGGTAAACAGTATAGATTTGTAAACAAGGATATGCCAATGCTTGAGCTTACAGATGGACAAAGCAGACCAACCTAACCTAGTATATAGCACACAATGATGAGTAAGGGATTTGAAATTTGTTATAAATCTTAGTGCACCATGGTAAACATTATCCAATGCATTCAAAAAATACTTGCAGGTTGTGGCTCACAATCCACACCTTCGTCGGTTAGAGAAGTTTTAAGATGAATCTAGCACTGAACTTGGAAAGATTCTAGAAGCTGTCCTTTGACAAATAGAAGCTATATATATATTTTTATAATTCTCTGGAACATAATTAAAATTAAACTGTAAACAACTGCAAAGCATTTAGGTGGCATTTTAGCTTTCTTAGCTATAACATTACAGTGCCTCTGGCCATGCCCCTTTATTGTGCAGTGTGTGTGCATGGTCATTGCGTGTAACCAGAAGTCCTTGTGATCTCACTAGCCCAGATGTTTTTTTTTTTTTGTAGTCTCAATTCGTTTGCTGCTACTCTGCAAAAGCCAATGTCCCTTTTTGCATTGAACTCTGAGCATATTACATTCAGAGATGTGGTTTATGTTCACACAGCTACATTACACATTAACTAAAGTTTACAATATGATATCGTAGTGGACCACTTTCTTTTGTGTTCAACGTAAAAAAGAAACCCGAATAGGTTTTGAAAAAGTAGGAGGTGAGCAAATCATGGCAGAGTTTTAATTTTTGTGTGAATTATCCCTTTAACTCAGGGTCATTTATGTGTACTGCATGCACTCTCAAGTCTATTGCCTAATTATTATATGTATTTTTTTTCATTCAGCTTTTTCCAAGATGGCTTGAAGACGGCAGATAAACTGAAGCAGTACATTGAGAAGTTAGCAGCTGATCTTTACAATGTAGGTACCTTACATTTTAACTTAAAAGTACTCAATTTAATCAAACCTTATTAGTAGGGGTGTCAAAATTAATCGTTTCTTCGCTGCATCGCGATGCAGACGCGGACAATTCGGTATCAGTTCAGTAATAATCATAACCGGTTAATACTGACGTCATTTACCCCATATGCGCTCTGTCGCGAGGGAGGCGATCGCGAGTATTTACAACGCTTTAACTACTTAAAACTCATAAACTGTGCACAATTTCACTGTGTTTGTTTGCTGGATCAGTCTTTCACTGACATATACAACAATAGCCCCTATTTCACTGAGATCGAGAGAATGAAAGTAGCCTACTCCATTTCTCTTTTTCTCTCTCGCTTTCGCTCTGTCTCTGTCTCTCTCTCTTTCTCACACACACACACACACACACACACACACACACACACCCAGTGGCCCATTTGACCTGCTGGGGTGGCTTTTTTTCTCCTCTCGGTTGTTTTACAGCACAACGTTTGGATACAGAAACGAGCGCGTGTCTGCAGAGTTTTCTCCACTGTGTCTATCATGCATCAGCTGTGAGATCGCCGCTGCCGCCTGCCGCTTATCAGTGTCACTTATCTGAAGAGCGCAGCGCGCAAGAGCCAATAGCAACCGTTTTTGTTGAGGGTGCGACCAATCAAAAAGGTGTAAGAGAACTAGACAAGGATCAGAAATTGAGCTGGATGTTTAAATTTGTTTATATTATTTGCTTAATGCTCGTTTTGTTTAAAGTTACAGTTTGTATATCTGACTGTTTGTATTAAACGACAAAATTGTATTACAAATAATATATAAATATAAATATATTCATACATTTTATTACAAGAACTGCTGCTGTAAAGAAAATATAAAACTGTGTATGGAAAGCATCGTCAATGCACCGTGATGCACCGAAATATCGAGTTGAACCGAATCGATGGCATGATAATCGTAACCGAACCGAACAGTGAGACTAGTGTAGGTTCACAGCTCTACTAATTAGCTTGCTTTATTTTTACAGTGGTGTAAACATATTTAGTAACACTTTATTTTGATGGTCCATTTGAGTATTAGTGGACTGTCTGCTTAATATCTGTTGATACTGCTCCTTTAACAGACATTTAACTGACAATAAGACACTTTGCAAGTACATGTCAATTTACACTAATCCTAACCCCAACCTAACAGTCTACTTATAATCTAATGAGAATAAGTTGACATGTAGATGCAATGTAACTCAATTCAACAAACGGACCATCAAAATTAAGTGTGACCACATATTTTATCAATCCTTTTGTTCTCTTAAATCTAAATCACATATCTGTTGTGGATTCCTTGGTCAGATTAAAGTAATTCTGCCCTAGCTAATTCTATACGAAGCATATTCAGATGGTCTCAGAATGCAAAACGTCAACTAAAAGTTAATTATTGATGTCAAAATATTAGATGTCAGCTGTTTTTTCTGCATGTCTCTTGCAATGTGTGTACAATTTTTCTAATATATACGTGTGTATGTTTTTTTTTTTGCTTATATATGATTTAGATAAAACAAACACAAGATGAAGAGAAAAAGCAGCTCACGGCTTTAAGAGATCTCATTAAATCCTCTCTACAAGTGGACCAAAAGGAGGTAGGTGTACGATTTGTTGTGCCCCAGGGCTCTATAAGAGCACCGATGAAAATTCTGAAAAAAATGCCCATCAAATAAGTTGTTTGCAATAAAATTTTTCCATCGATGATTAATTTTACATATGCAATACACATGTTGAGTTTAGATAATTATATAATGGTGTGATATCCGTACAGAATGAATCCGGAAGGGCTGTGGATGTAATCTAGAAACTCTCCCTAATGCTCAACCTGTACAGGGAGAGTGTGAGAGGGAGTGCCCAGTGCTGTACCATGCTGGTAGCCAGTATGAAATAGGGCTTGCTGGTAACCAGCGTTGTGCCCCACTGGTTGCTCAGAAAAAAAGTTGACTTTATTATGTTTTATATGGAAAATAAAAGTCAGTTAATAGGTTTTTAGTCAATGAAAAATTGTGCCAACACATTGTCAGGGCAGCATTTTATTACAGTAACATAGTGGGAGACAAGTTCATAAATGTAAACGATTCAGCCGTATGCCAACACACTCGGCTTATGTTATTATTTAGCATGCTTTTCACACCCTTTCCTATGTCTCTCTCACCCGCTTCCTGTGTGGAATGAAGTCTAGAAGAGTAAGTGCTTAGCATGTACAGCATGAAGTGTGTGTGTGTGTTTCTGTGTGAAAAAGTGGCTTGTCAGATAAAACTGAGGGTGTGAAATCTTAAATATTATAAAATATACACAGAATCTGCACAAAAGACTATTTAAAGCACTGTTTGTATGTGTGTTTTGTACTCGAGCAGGACTCTCAGAGCAAACAGGGTGGCTACAGTATGCACCAGCTGCAGGGTAACAAAGAGTTTGGCTGTGAGAAGAAAGGCTATCTGTTAAAGAAGAGTGATGGGTACACGCATATACACACACTCAATTTTACATGTGGTTTCTGATCGTTCTTCGCTGTATCTATCAGTGTAATGCAGTGTAATTTTTGTTTTCTAGGTTAAGGAAGGTGTGGCAGAGAAGGAAGTGCTCAGTTAAAGGCGGGATTCTCACCATCTCTCACGCCACTGTGAGTAACTCAGAGAGACGCATATTTGATTTGCACAGTCCACCATTGAAAGTGAACATTTAATTACCATTTACTCTACCTCAAGTGGTTTCAAATCTATATGACTTTCCTTTTTCTGTTGAACACAAAAGAAGATATTTTTAAAAGTGATAGAAACCTGTTACCATTGACTTCCATAGTATTGAAAACAAATACTATGAAAGTCAGTGGTTACGGGTTAGAAATATCTTCCTTTATGCTTGAACAAAATAATTAAACAGATTTGTAACAAGTGAAGGTTGAGTAAATGATGACAGAATTTTCCATTTTGGGTAAACTATTGCTTTAAATATATCATTCTTTAAATAGAACAATAAAGCAGAGATCTGACATTTACAATAAAAAGACCTCATCAGCTTTCTGAACTTTCTGCCTGAATGTCACCATAACAACCTAGACATCTCACTGCGGGCCTTCTTGAGGATTGAATTACACCCACTGAATGTCAGCATTAATAACCACACTTTATATTTAACTAAATGCTACAAATCAGCATTGTCAGAATCACCTCTTTGTCTCAGGACTCATCTGCAACCTCCACATCATGTCATCGCTTTTCTTCCTTTCCCAAATGATGTCACTCTTTCTCATGATGCCATCTGTCACACATTTCAGTATATATGTATATACAGAATTTCATATATATATATATATATATATATATATATATATATATATATATATATATATATATATATATATATATATATATATATATATATGCAACAGTTCTGTCTGGATCTTGAATCTGATTGGCTGATAGCCGTGATATATTTAAGTAATATCAGCATCCGTACAGCCTCTTCACCCTTTGTGTATTACTCCGCCCATATACAGCCAGCAACAAGCAGATTCTACAGTTTGACAAATATTACTGCTGTTACACAACAAAATATACTTTTGAGGCTTTTTTTAGTCGAGAATGTAGTTGTTTAGATTGCAACTATGCAGTTTATTTGCAAGAATAGTGCCTATTTTAAAATATTTACAATTTTTGAGAGACAGCTCATGAATGAGTATTGGCTTCTGCTGTTCTGACGTCAGCTGCAGATTTGAATGAATGGCAGAAGAAAGTAGTTCCTAATACCAAAAAAAAAAGGGTTTTTAGACTCCTTGTTTGATTTTCTTATTTATATACAGGATTGTGATGTTAAGCTGTTGTACAAACGCAATATCACACTTGTAGCAGTGTGATATGGCTCTATATCAGCACTGGTGGGATGCTAAGGCACTTGGCCTACGGCCTCGTGCCAACGCACGCCTCCCACCAGTGCTGATATACAGCCGTATCCAATGGTACTCGTGTGATATTGCTCATATATATATATATATATATATATATATATATATATATATATATATATATATATATATATATATACTGAGTTATATATATACTCTTAATCACCAATCACCGGTCCCTTTATTAGGTACACCTGTCCAACTGCACGTTCACGCAAATTTCTAATGCGCCAATCACATGGGAGAAACTTAGTTCATTTAGGCATCTAGACATAGTCAAGACGAACCTCTGCAGTTCAAACCGAGTGTTAAAATGGTGAAGAAGGGTGATTTAAGTGACTTTGAACATGGCATTGTCTGAGTATTTCAGAAACTGCTTATCTACTTGGATTTTCAAGCACAACCATTTCTAGAGTTTACAGAGATTGCTCAGAAAAAGAGAAAATATCCAGTGAGCTGCAGTTATGTGGGTGTAAATGCCTTGTTAATGCCAGAGGTCAGAAGAGAATGGCCAGACTGGTTCGAGCTGATAGAAAAGCAACCATTTGTTACACTGAAGGAATGCAAAAGAACATCTCTGAACGCACAACACATCCAACCTTGAGGCAGATGGGCTACAGCAGCTGAAGGCCACACTGGTTGCCCCTCCTGTCAGCTAAGAACAGGAAACTGAGGCTACAGTTCGAACAGGCTCACTAAAATTGGACAATAGAAGATTGGAAAAGCGTTGCCTAGTCTGATAAGTCACAATTTCTGCTGCGACATTCGGGTGGTAGGGTCAGAGTTTCTTGTCAATAACATGAAAGCATGGATCCATCTTGCCTTGTATCAGTAGTTCAGGCTTGTGGTGGTGGTGGTGTAATGATGTGGGGGACATTTTCTTACCACACTTTGGGCCTAGTAGTGTAGTGTCAACGCCACAGCCTATTAGACATAAGTACAACAGTAAATATAAACCAATCTAATATAAAAACAAATAGCTTCTCAATTTAAAATATCCAGCTGGCAATCCCATGTTTACAAACTCACGCTTTCCGCTTTAAGCTGCTTTCGTGTCCTACTTTGGCTTTTAACCAATAGCGTCTCTGCAATAAAGTGATGCCATGATACAAATATATAAATATGCGAGTCCTGATTGAGAGGTAACATTCGATTCCAAATCTGAAACCGATATATCGGGCCCGATTTCTGATCATGTGACCGGATCGGGACATCCCTAGTAATAACATTACCCCAATTCTTTGACTTCCATTTGTTTTATTTTATAAACTTACTAAAAGTGTTTAGGAATTCATGAAATGTACATGTTAATGTATTATATACAGTATTTAATACATTTACTAAATTGTAATCTTAGAACTAACTTATAACAAAAAACATTTAATCATTTGGCAACATTTGATACTGTTTGAGTGTTTAATCAAAAACAAAATCTAGTCAGACATTCATTTCTTGTCATGTTTTTTGTGTTCCAGTCAAACAGGCAGCCTGTCAAACTCAACCTGCTCACATGCCAGGTCAAGCCCAGTGCTGAGGACAGAAAGTGCTTCGATCTTATTTCCCGTGAGTTAACACAAACTACATGAGTGATTTAGCATCTTAGTTTAATGTGTTTGTTTACTTTAACATACTTAATCTTGGAGGAAACATGTTTAACTCATTTTTTAAAATAGCTATGTAATTGTACCATTCATTTGAATTATGACTTTCAACAATTTTCTGGTGTTTAGTTGGTTTAAATCAATGATTTTTTTGTGCTGACAGCTCATATTTATCTTGTCATATTTTTCAGATAACCGCACATATCACTTTCAGGCAGAAGATGAGCAGGAATTTATAATGTAAGATTTTTTTGTGAGGTTTTTAATCATTATTTTGTTTATTTGTTATTCATGTTGTTTTCTTCAGTAGTCAAAACACTAATTTCATTGTGGTCTCTAGAACTGTTTTATATGCTGATTCATGATTGTAAGACTTTGTGCATTGTGCATAGTCGATTCTAGCAATGTGCCTGGAAGTGAAAAACAACTTTCCCCTTTTTAGTACTTCTTAGGCAAACTAATAGTGAACAAAAGTGCTCTGTGTTGTGAGAAGCTGCATTCACTTGGGTTAAGTTGACACTTAATTATTGAGGTCACCTACACCACAATGACATTTCCCAGACTCTTTTAGACATTCTCACAGAATCAAAGCATTTACCATCTCACAACACATTTTTAACTGCCACCTTTACTTCTTACCCACAGCACTGTGAGCTTTCTGCTGTCCATCAAAGAACCGCCTTACTGCGCCATTTAATAGCCATTATAAAGCTCTTAAAAACACAAAGGCTGATCATGATGAGACCCTTTAACACAAAGATGCCCAAACTTGGGGCTGTGGGCCAAAGTTGACCCATGGTAACCTTTGATTTGGCCGTATGGTTTAGAGATTGTCATTTCAAATCTAATGTAACCTATTGCTTCATTGTTTTATTGTTAAAAGCGAATTGAAATTAAATGTTTGAATTAAATACTGTAGACTAATCAGATTTAGTTGTAAATGTACATACTAAAATGTATAGAGCAGGGGTTCCCAAACTTTTCAGCCCGCGACCCCCAAAATGACAATGCCAGTGACTCGCGACCCCCAATATCCTCTGAGGTGGTTGTAAATGCAATGGTGCACACATACACCAATAGACCCAAGTCTAAATGTGCCAGAAAGTTTAACTTGGTGTTATAAAATCAATCTGCTGCAACTGATGCTATTGCTGTGTCTTTAATGTAATTACCCCAGGGGTCGCAATCCAATAGAACTAGTAACTATAAGCTACTATAGTAACTATATAGTAGTTTATAGTAAATATAAACGACTATTTTTTGTGTTCAGTAGTTTATGGATAAAATATGCTAATTCTTGTGGTTTAATAAAAATAAATAGATTTTTGAAAATCAATTGAGAACCACTTGTGTAAAGGACAATGCAGAGACTTTAGGAATCAAATCAAGCAAAAGGCAGATTCTGCTCGACTAATGTAATCAGCA